TTCTACCTTTTAGCCCTGGCAGCATCAAATGTTTACCAAATGGATTTGTGTCTGATCTTTCCTGGACTTTTACTACTTAAGAACATGCTAGGGCATTTAATTACATCCATGAGCCAGTGAGTTTGTATTTTAAAATAACCAATAAATACATTCTTTAAAGGTTTTTAATATTCTCTTAACTAACTTCATATCTCATGCAACTTATGGTTGAGAATTCTATTTCCCATATTTTTGAAAATCATATTAACAGATTAACAGACTTTTAAAATAATAGAATACTATGCTCATATGGTTTCTGTAAAGTTCAGATTAGTTGCTGTATGTTGACTTCTCACATTGTTAATGGTTTTGTTCCAGACTACAAAAATGAATTTTTGGAAGGAATTTAAGTTAAATCTGTGAAGTTTGCTCATTAAACAAACAAAGCTATTTATATAGATCAGAGAATGAGTATACATTAAGAAAATCATGCAGCCACTCATAAGCTCAGTTGCTCATTATAATGTAAGTAGTAGTAAGGGAAAATCTTGGTTGGTTTGTTGTGTGAAATTAGTATTTGGTTTGGATATATATCCTCAGATTTTTCTTACAATATGGCTCCATCCCCTGTCTGAAATACTGTGATAAGTAGATCAAATTAGGGCAACTGCTTGAGACAGATTGGATTGTGTAATTGTTTTGGTGAAAGTGAAACCAATAAAAGATTAAAATTACTTTTAGTGAATCTAAATGTATAGACATAACTAACTATGCATCATTCTCACACCACTGAATACATTGAATAGGATTCGAAGCCAAGAGGTTAAGCAGTAGTTGCATTTGAGATTTAGTATTAATTAAAGGAAATGCATATTATGAATTTATGAATTTGAGGGTACAGGTTTTTTTTTTGTTTGTTTTTTGTTTTTTTTTCACAGCTGTATTTACCAAAAGAGAACACATCTTTTCAAGGAAGATATTTTTGCTACTTACCATTAAGTCCCATAAGGGTGATTATAGGAAAGTGGCGTCATAATTAAAAGTCATTAAGTACATCAGGTTTTTAAAACTATATTCCAACTGGAAATTTTTTACAGGGTTATTTGGTGTTTAAAAGCAGGGAGGAAAAAATGATTAGTGCGAATGTGAAGAGTATTGTGAGCATGGCAAGCTTTCAGTTTCAGAGTTCTCCGTGTCCTTGTGAATTGGTAGTGCCAGGTTTTGACTGTTTTATAGAACTAGGTGGAACTTTTTTTTTTCTCAATATATTCAAGTGAGTGGTGATATTTTTTTTAATCTTATAACAGTTTATTTTTATTTTTACATCATTTTGTACATTTTTTTTTCCATCTCAATTGTAATCCCGCGGGTTTCCCATCACCAAGTCACCCATGTGCCATCACCATAATCCCATGCGCTTCCCTCCCCACCCCCCAGTTTGGGGGTACAACTTTTAATTATACTTCTAACCGCTTTGAAAGCTTCTAGTGTTCTTCAGACTCTTGCTGGTGATACATGAGAGTTAATTATACAGTTATAAAGTCGTGGGTATCCCAAATTAGAGTCTCAGTTGGAGAAAGGTACTCTGTGATTTAGTATTAAATCATTCAGGGCATTAAAGAGACTTTCCTACCTATGTGCATGTATCATTTATACATAAACTATGTCTAGGAACAATGATCAGAACTAGATTGTTTTAATATAAATAAGATTTCAGTATTACTCCATGCTCCTGCCACCCAGAAAAGAAACCTCTCTTTGCCTTCCATTTATTTATCCTGAGCCCAATATTCCCTGGGCTTAGCCCATACCTTCTCAGTACCACACCTATCTGACATCACCTCTCTTTGTTATCCTACATTGAGGTTATTAGTAGTCTTTCTCCATTATAAGTAGCACCTCAGTGAATAACTGTGCATATACTAAATACATTCTCCCTCTTTGTTCGTTTTTAAGGAAAACAGAACAAGCAGCTATCCTGTCTGCCTCTGACCATGAAGGTGTTTAAGAGCAGAGGCAGTTCTTTTCACCCCATATGTGTTTGTGCAAGTGGCCTTTCCTTTCCTTTCTTTTTTTTAATACAATTAACCTACCCTTTGGATATTAAAACAAAGGAAACTGCATAAACTTAATCTGTTGATTTTAAAAGGATACCTATCCAATATATATTGCTATGAAAAATGGAAAAGGAAACTTGGTAAACAATTGTCTAACTCAGTTACCTGCTTTCTCTTTTTAAGTTCCTGAGGGCAGGGATTATTCTTTGATTTTTTTGGTGTATCTTGCAAATCCAGAATTATGTGCTTCATAATACTCAGTGAAAACTTGAAGTCTTGAACTGAATATGCAATGACACTGAATAGTTAGCAAAGTAACACCTGTTATTGTCTACTCCAGCGATGTTGCCTATGAAGGAATTCATTGGTCCTCTTTATACACAGCTTCTGTTGTCAAAAGGTCATGCATTCTGGGAAGAAGAGTCTTGCCAGAGGGAATTTCCCAAGCTAATATACCCTTCCAGACGTTTCTTCCCAATGGTATATCCTGAATTATGAGGCCCCTGGAGGCGATTATAATCACTGAGATGACATGTCATGCCTGGAATTTAACATTCCCCCCCATCACAAAATTTCCTATAGTTATATGTCAAATCTAAATTTATTACTATGAGATTTTATTTTTATACAGCTAATACTTGTGTTTAATATTTACCACATTAAATAAATGTAGGTATATAAAGATACTAAGCTATCAATCAATGGAATTGGCAAAATAACGTTGTTTAGGAGATAGAATGTTTGTTCTTATGACATGCCATCTTTCTCTTAAAATATACATACTACTGTCCAAAGTTGAGTCAAATATGTTTGAAATTCATAAACTAGCCAGACTGTACTAATCTTTGTCATATCTTATATATAAATGAAGAAAACACTGTATAACTTTTTTAAATAGTGGGAAGTCATACTTATTTGTGTGTACATATATACATATGCACATACCCATGCATTTTATAGTTTACTATGTCACATCTATACATATATCCACATATCCAGATGATCTTTTTGCTTAATTTTCTAATTTTATTTTTATTAATTCTCATATTCGTCAAGAAGTCATGTACATTTCTCTTGAATATTCAGGGTTTTGATGTCTTTGTTTCTGTTTCAAATAAACTAAAGAGTATATTGTGTTTGGAATGGTTTTTATTTTTATCTTTCGCTATTTCTTAGAGTTCAGTGATGAGATTAGTAATGTTTTAAATGTCAGTAAAGTATGACACTTAGAGAGTTACAGTAGTATATCACCATTGGATATGTCTTCCTCAGTCATGTCAACATTTTCATGGAATTAAAAACTTTATAATCGTCCTAGATTTTATTGTGACAGAGTTTGTTATATTAAAATATAGAAAATAATATTCAAAGTATGGATAATTTATTTTTTTCTTATGACAGGTTTTAGTTTTTTTTTAAAAAAAAGTGAAAATATCTCTTGTATAAAGAAACCATTAGGTTTGAACAATGAAAAGAATTGGAGTAAAGGCATATTTTTTCTATTAGCTATCAAAGCATCTAATTGCCATTTATTTAGATTTGACCTAAACATTTACTAATTTTCGTGTAGTAAATCAAACAGGGTACAGTTCAGTCAAGCACTGTCAAAGTGATAGGTTTGAAGAGTAATTTTAAATAATGGGGATAGCAGTTCAGACATTAAATCCTAATACCACTTTTGTGTTTAAGCCATCATATAATAATAGCTAACACTTATTCCTGGAGCCTTACTAAGTCCTTTGACATATATTAGCCTATTTAATCCTGATAGCAGCTATATAGGATTTTAGCTGAAGATACTGGGACTCAGATAGATTAAGAAACTTGCCCTACGAGAAAATAACAAAAATAATGAACAACCATA